GGGAGCTTCCCTTCCCCAGCTCCTCTCACACCCCTGGCCATCCTATCTCCTCTCCTGTGTCTCTCCTTCAGGACCAGTCCTACTCCCATCCCTGGTCAGAACTTTCCAGAACTTAGAGATCCTCACTGTCGTTCTGGGAGCTGCACTAAAAAGCATGAAATGCCCCAGTGTATTACAGAAAAGTGCAGCTTTCAGCTCTGTGGCTCTCTGCCCTCCTCCTGATGATACCTTAGGATTTTAGCTTTTATTTTTTCATGTATTTGTCATCCTGCAGTGTTCAGTGTGTAACTCTAAGCTCCATGTACAGTGTGAGCTGCTGCTTCCCCACTTTGGTCAGACACAACAATTCTTCTCCTGGGAGTCAAGGACACCTCACTGCCTCAGGCCTGAGAGATGGGAACAAAAGTGAGCTGGGGGAGAGCAAACTTGGGGTGAATGCCTTCATTACCTGAAGCTGTAATTGTAAGATTAACCCCCAAATGGACCAAATTTATAAAAGTGTGAAAATCTGTGATCCATTTTTTGGGTGTAGCCCCTGGGGGGCTTCATCTGCCCAAAATGTACCTGAAGGCCCTTCAATAAACAGAACTGCTTTTTATTCCCTTAATTTTGTCTGGCCTCTGTTTTTAGATAGCCTGAAAAGGCATCACTGAGTCCTTTTGTCATGTTTTCTATCACAGAGTTTGTTTTCTGGTGGCTGCTGGGTGTTGAGCTGCTGGTTTTGTAAGAGCCTTTGTGCCCCAAGGTCCCATTTGTGTGTGTGAGATTTAACTGGGAGCCCATTAGTGACACTAATCCCAGGCTTGTTCTTCCCTTATGTGCATAATTTATTTGGGTTTGCTTACAATGAATTTCACAGAGGCTCTGTGGCTGTTTCTCTCCCTGCAATATCCCTTGCTTTATTAGCAGTAATTGCCTTTCTTCCAGTTTTCCAGTGGATCAGCAATTCAGGCAAATTAAAGAAAATTGTTCCTTACACCACTTACTGCTGCTCCACCAAGCCTGGGGAAGGCATCCTGTGCTCAAAGGGTTTTGGGATTTTCTCAAGTGATCTGACAAAATATATGGGGCGTCTTGTCAGCTGGGACCAGGACAGGCTCAGTTCACTTTAATTTGAGCTCTATGCATTTTTTTTTTTCCCTTATAGATTTTCAAAAGTGGGGTAAATTGCTTCTGAATATGAAAAAAATCTCAATAATCAATTTAATTTCAATAGCAGAATGAGGAAAATGCTTGTAACCTACTTCTGTACACTTGAATATATAACTTTTCACAAGGGTAAACCAACCAAAGAAGCATCTGGATGATTCCTTCTCACAAAGAGATATTTTGGTACTGTGGCTGTATTTTTCCAACCGTAAATATCTGCATGGACTGAGGAGACCACGCAGCATTTCCTTCCTCACTAGAGGAAGAAGGGAAATGTCTGTCTTACAATATAAATCTTTATTTTTCGTGAAAAAAGCCATCTGAGTTAAGATGAAATAAATGACAGCCCTGCACAAAGTGAGCAAACAGCTGCCACAACCCCTCGGTGCTGGTTTCAGCTGGCTGTGGGTGACACTGGTGACATGTGGGTCCCTGTGTGCTGGGGATGGTGCTTCCCCTGGCACTCAGGCACCAGCAGACACAGAGCTGATGCCGTCTGTAAAATGGGAGGGGAGAAGCCTTGGCTGTGTGCTCTTACCTTTTTCAGAAGCCGGGGCAAGGTCAATAAAACTTCGACATTTTTCACCTTTAAAAGAAAAGGATTATTTTAGGAGACAGAAGTGGGTTGGTGTCGCTCTGCCTGGGGTTCCTGCCCCCACTCCCACCCCAGCCTCTCCAGGAGCTGAGGTTGTGTCACACTGGGGACAGATGTTCCCTGTGCCTCCACCCAGGGACTTCCCTTGGGATGGTGGCCCGTGATGGGGTGTGGGTCACAGGGAGTGCAGGAAATCCTTCCCTGCTGCCAGCCATGGCACACAGGGACAAACATCTCAGCAGGTGGCACTGGGAGGGCACCCCGGCCTCTTTCACCCATCGCAAACACGGTGCCCAACCGGTGGGAAGAGCGATGAGCTCTGACTCCAATGATTTCAGAAGGTTAATTAATTGCTTTATTAAACTGTATTACACTAGAACTATATTACACTAGCAAGAACTATCACTAACTAACTAGAAAACCAGATTCTCTCTCCTGAGAGCCCCAACACACGTGGATCCAACTGGTCAATGAATCCAAACAGCCATCAGCTGAGTCCAATTAACAAATCACTCGCCAGTAAACAATCTCCATAGCACATCCCACATGTGCACAACAATGAGCAGCAGCAAGCGAGATAAGAATTGTTTTTCTTCTTTCTCTGCTCCTCTCACAGTTTCTCTCAGGAAAAACCCTGAGAAAGGCAAATCTCTCTCTGTTCAGAGGACGTGTGAATACCACATTTACCCACGCTTTTGCCCTCCTTCTTCTCATCACTAGATAATGCCTGTGCCCCACCCAGTGTCCCAGGAGTATAGTATGTCACATAAGTAAGAAATTTAAATTTAAAAAATTTTAGTATATTATAAATAAGTTCAAGATAGAAAATATAAAGTATTATCTCAAATTCCTTTCTTCTCTCTTCTTCTTCCTCTTTCTTCTTAAGTTTAAGTAATATCTTATAATTAAGTAAAAATATATGAAAATATATATTAAAAATATATTAAGTATATCTTATATATAAGTATATCTTATATAAACTATATATCTTATATATCTTATATATAACTTATATATATAATATATATCTTATATATCTTATATACTTATATATATAAGTATATATATAAGTATATCTTATCTATTAAGTAAAAAATCTACATTACAAGTCTTTAAGAGTCAATTATTAAGTTAAAAAAAATTTTAAGACTCATTTCTTAATTATGTAGTTTAATTTTAAAATAAACTTAAAAAAACCCTACAACACAAAATTATTAACCATTTTTATACTATTTTCACACATGCAAAGTCTGTGCCCCAAACCTCCCAGTGCTGGGGGGCACTGAGCTCTCCATACATAGATGTGACACACATGACTGAGACAAAACCTGAAGCACAAAGAAGCTAAGGAAATGTATAAAGGCTTTTAAAAAAGGTTTAAAAAGCAGGCAAATGCCTTGCTCTGAGCATCACAGCCTGTGCCACTCCCTCTGCTCCACTGTAAATTAAACTCTCCCTGTTTAGGACTCCACCTTTGGCCTTGCAGGAATTCTTGAGGAGTTTCTGAACAGAAAATGTATCTTAGGGTGGATGCTTTGACCTTTCTTTTTACTTCTTCAGGTAACCAAAGATGATCAAATAATTCCTCTGCCCTGGGTGCATCTCTCCACCAAGTGTATGTGTTCCTTTTGGTATGATGTGCTCCAAGGTGTGCTGGCACATCTGCCAGAGGCCATGGAATAGAGTCCATTTTGCCCTTTAAGACTTAATTATGCAAAGCAGTTAATAGGACAAGGCTGTTTTTTTTTTTTAATTAGCTTTGCTCATTTTTAATTACAAAGTTCAAAAGACTAATTTAGGAAAGGTGAGCCATTAAAAAAGAATAAAAAATGAAATGCCACAGTGATGGTGAAGTCAGTGTATTTTTTTCTTATTTGTAATTCGGTGTACATATATAGCAATATAAAGTGTTCACCTTTCTGGTGTCTTTGCTGGCAAGATTGAGATAAATGTAATCATTCAAATGATAGCTGTGCTGACATAAGAATCTATCATTATAATGCTATTATTACTGCTTTTTATTTACTTTTTGCAGTTTTAAATCCATGCTATATACACTGAGAGGTGATGTGTACATAATCCGTTGTCTATGTATAAGTAGCTATAAAAGAAAAGGTTCACTTGACATTGATATGCACATTTTGATATGTCCAGGGGAAATATTTCTACTCTGTGAGTCCAGAGGACAGCCAAGAAAAGGAAGTGACACTTGGTTTGCCAAAGCACCACCTCTGTTTCCCAAGGGGTGGGCAGGGCAGGCTGTATCTGAGTGTCAGGTGAGACAGACAACCACCTTTGGGGCTGATAGGTGGAAAGGGAGCTGATGGATCACAGAAATTACCAGCCCTGCATATTTCCTGTTCAGAGCAGGACTGTGACCCTTCCCACCCAAATTCTGAAACGCTCCAAAGATGGTAATGCCCATCCCTTAGTGACTCGAAGATGGACTTTCTTCCCACTCTGGTCCACTTCTGGAGAAGTGTTTCCTTATACCCAACCCAGACTTCTGTAGCTGCTCTGGCATCAATGCAGTCATCCTTTGTCTGTTTGTAGGGACATGAACAAGCCCAGCTCCCTCAGGTTTTTTACTTTAGGTTCCTGATCAAGAAATCCAGATAAGTAAGTGGACTATAAAAAATACTAAGGTGAAAGTAGAAAACATTCTCATGCAGAGCCTCTGAGTTTAAGCTATGAGGTTTTTCAGGAATTTTATTGACATAAAATCAAGGGAATATAGGGAGAATGACCTCTAGATTTGGACTTGATATAAGCAGATTAAGCAGGATTTTTTTATTCTACCATATGGATCTGTGGTTTGTGTCTGGTTTTTGTGTGTTTGGTTTTTTTTTTTTTTCTTTTGTCAGATGTAAGTTATTACTTTTATCACAGTTTTATTTGAACCTGACTTCAAGCTGTCTCTCACTGATCATCCCTCACTCGTGCTACAGTGAATCCAAAACCACATTACTGGAGACCTTTAACAAATACCTGGCTCTCCAGAATGTTATCCCAAGACAGGCAAAGGCCTTTGCTACTAGAAAAACTGTACAGGCTGCTCTGAGAGCTGGTGGCACCTCCTGGCAAGGGACAGGGTTTCACTGTTTGATGCAGGTGCTTTATCTGCAGGACAGAAGAGAGGGTGGTCACAGGCTGCTGGGAGGAATGAGCATTCTCCTCCTCCCTCAATTCAGCTTGCCCAGAACACCATCTGTCCTCGTGGTGAGGCCTCCAGTTTAAATGTCATGGACACAAAGTGCTGGAGTGTCCAGAAAAAGTCCTTTAGGAGTCCTAGCAAAAAGAATGGCTGGAGGTAGAGAAGAGCCTGATCACTTTCAATGGCTGATTGTGCCTGGCTTGCTGCTGAAGGTCATGGTAGGAAGCGTGTTCCTGACTTTTCCCTTTGTTGTTCGTGCTGCTGGAGCATTGGAAAACCCTCTTCCATTTTCAGTGGTAGCCACTGGTGGTATTTATAAAGCACAGTCACACTTGCACATGCAGACATGCATCTCACTGAGAACTGAAGATGTCAGCAGTGCTTTCACTGTTCCTCTTAGGATTTATTCTAAGTTATTTTTGGGTATCTTGTATAACTGATCTCTTAAGCCCTCTTAAGTTTAATTTTAGACTTGGCAGAGTTTATCCTGCTGTGCTGTCCTTTTCCAGATGCATCTTCTCCCCTTAACCAGGCTCCTGGAGAGTCTTTCGAGAATACAGAAAGACTGTTCAGAGAAGCAACAAGAAGAGTCTCTGGGATTCATCCCCTAAGGGCCCTGCCTTCGCCCGTTTGTGGCTGTGATCCTGACAGGGGAGAAAGCCAAGGAGTGACCTCTCCTGCACTTCACTCAGGCAGAAAGAAGAGGTGGGACCTGGCTGGAATTCTCTGCACTTCTGCACAGGAGCTGTGGCCATGGACAGTGCACGTGAGGCTCTGTGAGCTCAGCAGCCCCAGGGAGCTGCTGGAGGCTGAGCAGAGAGGCTGGCCAGCACCTAAGCAGCCACAGGCAAAGCACTTGGCACCAGCTTCTCCTGTGCCTTCCCAAGGGTGAGGGAGAAACATCACCTGTCCTTGCAAACGCCCCTGCAGGGGCTCAGCTGTGCCTCTGCTGGGCTTCCCAGGGAGGGGACATGTCACAGGGATCTGCAGGACTGGGAGACAGCAAGAGTCCAAAATTTATCTGTGGCTAATTGATCCTAATTAATTAATCTAATTCTGTATGTGTGCATGTCTGTGAGTATTTGTAACTTGCTGGGGGACTTCAAATTGGAGCAGCCAGTGAGTGGGAGGAGATGCATCTGGAAAGACTGAGCTGGGGGAAGAGTCTTGTGTGGGTAAAAGATGTAGAGCCCATGAAAATATCTGAGGGACCACCAGTGTGATGCCCCCATGCACCTGCAATGGGAAGATGTGGAGGTGTTCCAGCAGGATCTGCAGACCTGGATGGGCAGAGGAGGAAGAGGAGCGAGTCTGGTGCTGGGGGGAAGTTTCTGTGGGTGCTGATGGAGGCACAGCTCTCTCTGAGGGTCTGTGTGGTCAGAGACATCAGGGTCAGGCTTGCACATGTGTGTGTGTCCAGCCTGGATGGGAAGGGCCCAACAGCAAACATGTGAAGGAGAAAGAATTCCCTGGGACTTCTTTAAGCTTCCTGGGATCATGCTCAGCATCCTCTCAGACAAACTCCCTGGGACTTCTCCCATCCCGTGCAGCTGGAGCAATATATGAAAGTCCAAATTCCCCCAAGTTCAATCCTGCCAGAAAATCGAGACAAACAGGCCCTAAAGAACCATCAGGTCCCACAGTTTGCTCGCTCCAGGGCACTGCCCTGCCCTGCCCACACTGTGGGTACATCACACATGCCTGCCTGTGGCTTCCAGCGTGGAATTCCTCCCTGGGCCCCTTGAATTATAAATGTGCACAGGGCAGCTGAAAGGCAGGCCCAGGTGCACAGAAATTGGGTTTGAACTCCAGCACACAGATGTTCATCCAAGCCCTG